AAAAAATGCAAACGTTGAATGTAAAATCAGTAATACTTTTGTGAATATGAAATATACCGGAAGTATCTAAATTCCCGAAGAAAAAACGCATTGTAGATAAATATGGTTCTGAGATTTATATATTTTTTAAATAAGTACAGAATTTTTTCTGTTATCATTTTGAGCTTTCTCATTATTTTAATTTATAAAAACATTTAACAAAAAAAAATTATGACTTTAAAAACAGTTTTAAATGTTTAAAACTACAGAGATCAAGCAGTTTTACCACAATTGGTCTGTAATAAAACGCAAATTGTCCCATCTTATTCTAATGTTCATTATGCAAAACAACCGTATAATTTTCAGTGTAGGCAAAAGTCATGATTGACCTTATAGTTCTCTCCGGACTACTGCGGTAGTGCTTGCTTTACAAAACATCGAATAATTGTGAAAATAATTTACCTGGTGTACCTTTTTTCAATTTTTTCTGAGATTTTTTAAGTTCAGCACCATCAGAAGCGCAGGTTTCAGTAAATGGCATCTCAACATTATCCAGAAATTGATTTTCAATGTCCGGAAATCGGACAAACTCCATTTCAAAAGTCAATCCTCCATTTGCAAAGAGACAAGATGGATCTTCAGCTATCTCGGCTTCCACAAAATCATTTTGCTCAATTAAGTTGGTACACATTTGAGAAATTTCTTCATCAGGCTTTTCATTGAAGCCATTCTCATCAGTGTTATCCAAAGTAGGAACCTCCACAGTTTGGTTCTTTTTCTTCTTAAAGATACCAAACCAGGTTGTACGAACAACACTAGTCTCTGAAATTATATTTACTGATTTCAAATGATCAATTTAAAATAACACAACTAATTTTTCCCAGGTAGCAAAATAAGGTTTATTTTCCCTCGAGAAAAACCTTTTAGTGTAAACCTAAAAAGGTTTGTAATACGGTTTACCTTCTAACCTTAAAACGAGATCTGTGACAATCTTCTCTATTCTACTCACATCACCCTAATCCAAAACTTTGGAAAACAACCTTAAATCGAGGTTGTCTTAGCGTGAAAAAAATTTCTTGAATAAAGCTGGTCTCAAGGTGAAAATAATCTTAAACCTAGGTAATTTTAAGGTTTCTTTTCGCTAAGCCTTGTATGCTCAGCTAAAATCCGCCTTGTCATGAAACTTCGCTAGTGTGACGTCAGCTAAAACGTCATTATGGACCTATGTGACAGTACTTTTTAAAAAAGCTTTAAAAAATAATTTTTAATCCTTTTAAGATGAAAGGTTTGAAACTGCAATATTTAAGTTTTATTGAAAAAAGGTTTTCAGCACAAACATTTTCGTGACAATAAAAAGAAACTTCCGACGCAAAGTTTCCGTAAGGATATATGCGTTCTGGGTTTAATACTCTCTTAAAATGTAGCAAATACATTTCAATAAATTACATAATTTCAATTCTTTAGGTATACTCAATGATTATAAATTGTTATAGTAGGATTAATAGTGAAAAATAAGGTTTTGTTTCTTGTCGAGGGATTTCGTATAAAACAAGCGGAAAACTAAAGATTTTGAAAACAGTCTTTATATAAGGGAACAAATCCCTCCTTGCTACAACCAGTTTATGTTTTATAACATTTTCTCTCTCTGTCCACTCAGAAGTATAGTTTGTCTAAGCTAAGAACTCCTCAGGCCACAATGTCTGAGGTCGTCTGGTGCTATGGAAACAAGAATGGCGCATTCAAGGGAGGGTAGCTTCACCAACACAATAGAAGAAAGAGATGAACGTCCTGGTGGTGCCTTGCCTTTTGAGGGACTTAGAAGCCAATAGACTTGTTTCTCTCGCTTTGCCAGTGGTCACTTAAAGTGTCTCTCGTATGTTTAGGGGCGAAAGACTTTTTGACTTTGTACTAAATGTGGGACTGCTCAGGCTTCTTTCGAGCTTATTCTAAATTGTGTCGATTCGAATTGTGTCGAGGTTTTATCAAAACCTCATCTGTTTTTAGACTTTCTGGACATTTTTGGACTTATGGATTTGGTCTAATTGGGATGGACCTCTTGGGGATTAGAAACAACAACAACAAGAGATTCCCTTTCTCTCGCCGATCCGATCCGATCCGAAGCCACTCCATGATAGTGACCCCGCACNATAAAGCTAGTCTCAAGGTGAAAATAATCTTAAATCTAGGTAATTATAAGGTTTCTTTTCGCTAAGTCTTGTATGCTCAGCTAAAATCCGCCTTGTCATGAAACTTCAATGGACAAAGCAATTTGATCCTATCGCTAGTATGACGTCATCTAAAACGTCATTATGGACCTATGTGACAGTACCTTTTAAAAAAAGCTTTAAAAAATAATTTTTAATCCTTTTAACATGAAAGATTTCAAACTGTAATATTTAAGCTTTATTGAAAAAAGGTTTTCAGCACAAACTTTTCCGTGGCAAAAAAAAAGAAACTTCCGACGCAAAGTTTCCGTAAGGTTATATGCTTTCTGGGTTTAATACTCTCTTAAAATGTAGCAAATACATTTCTATAAATTACATAATTTCAATTCGTTAAGTATACTAAATGATTATAAATTGTTGTAGTAGGATTAATGGTGAAAAATAAGGTTTTGTTTCTTGTCGAGGGATTACGTAAAAAACAAGCGGAAAACTTAAGTTTTTGAAAACAGTCTTTATATAAGGGAACAAATCCCGCCTTGCTACAACCAGTTTATGTTTTATAACATTTTCTCTCTCTGTCCACTCAGAAGTATAGTTTGTCTAAGCTAAGAACTCCTCAGGCCACAATGTCTGAGGTCGTCTGGTGCTATGGAAACAAGAATGGCGCATTCTAGGGAGGGTAGCTTCACCAACACAATAGAAGAAAGAGATGAACGTCCTGGTGGTGCCTTGCCTTTTGAGGGACTTAGAAGCCAATAGACTTGTTTCTCTCGCTTTGCCAGTGGTCACTTAAAGTGTCTCTCGTATGTTTAGGGGCGAAAGACTTTTTGACTTTGTACTAAATGTGGGACTGCTCAGGCTTCTTTCGAGCTTATTCTAAATTGTGTCGATTCGAATTGTGTCGAGGTTTTATCAAAACCTCATCTGTTTTTAGACTTTCTGGACATTTTTGAACTTATGGATTTGATCTAATTGGGATGGACCTCTTGGGGATTAGAAACAACAAGAAAGAGATTCCCTTTTTCTCGCCAATCCGAGCCGAGCCGAAACCACTACATGATAGTGACCCCGCACCCCTACTTGAAATAGTAATGCCTCGTTACCATAGTCACCAGACGAATGTCTGGGGGAGTTCGTATTTTAGATGAACTATAGTTAAATGGTTTTATTAGCTGCTTTCTTCTCTTGAAGTGTTCTCACGAAAATATTTGTAAGAATTAACATACGAGCCCTTCCTAAGTGCTCTCTTCTCACCCATTTTTAGGTTAGTTTAAGGGAAGAAAAGAAGGGCTTAAAGTTAGATTTCGAAAATAATTTAAAAATTGCGAAAACGTATCAGAAAAAAATTTAATCTCAATGATTAATTTTTAAAATTACACACTTTTTTTTGTTCACAAGTCATAAGATTACACTGAGGAACAATGTTTTTTTTTTCTTCCTTAACTCGAATTTTACTAATTCGGGTGTGGGGATCTCAAATCTAAAATTAGTTTTGCTTCTAAAGCTAAATTTCTTTTTAAAATTACATTTTTAATTAATTTTTGTTGAAATGTACAAGCTTAAAAATGTTATATATAGCAGAGAATCACAGAAATGCTGCGACAAACTTCTAGAGGAGTTAGGGCATAGCATCAGGATTAAAATTGAATGGAAAACTCATACCCTGAAATGTCCTCACACGTGACTAGGTACGCATTCCTATTATGACTTGTTCTGAAGCACATCAAGAAACAATTCATAACAAGAAAGCATAACAAAAACCAGGCTGAAAAGTCATTAAAAGACTGTAGCTTGGAGAGAAGAACCTATTGCTGATTTGAAATCAGTGGCGTGAAAATATTCAAGATCCACTAAAAAATGTCATGCTACAGAAATAGTCCCTATTTTTGTCCAAAAATATTAAGACCAAACGGGAGAATGTTTTCATTCTTTCGCATACAACAGAAAAAAAACTCGAAGTTTCCCGTGTGCTTTTTATATTTATTTTATAAATAATTTTGCCTTTCAATTTTTTCAACTTGAATGTTTGAAAGTTTTCAATTTAAAATAAAATATTTTTATTATGAAAATATAAACGTCATTTAATAAAAATGATAGAACTAAAGAATATAACTTGTGTTAAAAATTTACCGTTTGGATCATCATTCGATTTTCCTTTTTTAAACAGTTTTAGAAAGCGATTCATGTTTTTAATGTTACACAGGCAAGCATCAAAAATAGAATGAGCATTTTTTATGTTCTTTTCTCATTGTACTCTTCTAACAATGCATAAAAATACTGAACATTGTAGAAATATTAAAGAAACAATAGTCTCCAACAATCTGTCAGTTCCTTAGAATTGGTGAAAATATTGAAATTAAACATTGTTAAGAGCGAAGAGACATTGTTGTTATTTTAGAAATAAAATATTTAAATGATATATTTAACTACAATAATAAAAGAGAAGCAATCCTTGATTCGAATCAGTAATTGATAATATGAAATTGATCAAATCAAAATTATATAAAAATGATGTATCGATAACAATGAGTTAATATAGTTAAATGCGGAAACTAGTAATAGGTGCACCGGAGTGCCTGACCAAAAAGGCCACCTCCGTAAATTATATGATTACAAACTGAATCAAAGGCCATTGATGTTGAAATTATTTGAATTAGTAAACTTAATGTTTGGTAGTTAAATGCGGGATACATGGATCCCGTCTTCTCCCTAGATGTCGTATTCGAGCGTTGCGATCGCCTATACAGTCAGCCATTCATCGTATCATATCTGCTATCTGTCTAGCCTCAAGCAAAGCCTTATTAATGAATATAAAAAGCTATAAGCTTAAAAAAAGATCTCGCCTCATTATACTACAAACATAAACTAGTCAGTTAATTTAAAGAACGAAATGATATATGAAATGAACGAAGACTAATAAGTATTAGACGACTATTCATGTTGGTGATAACGAAAATATTTATTCTTGTGTAACATGTAATGACAGTTTTTCTTAGAAAAGTTTACTAGTTGCAACAGTTTTATTTAAATGCACACATTTTTACGCAAGGTGATTTGAAATGAACTAATATTTCTAAGTATTAGGACTCATTCATGTTATTGAGAATACTTATTCTTATGTGATAAGAGTTTTTCTTAGAAAAGTAATACTGGTTATTAACCTGATTCTTGTAATCAGAGTTTTTCCCATAGAAGTGACATGACTAAACACTATCCTGTTCAAATGGCTGGGAAATCATTTTCCTGTAATGTATGTAATAAGAGTTTTTCAAGCAGAAGTAATCTGACTAAACACAGTTATGTTCATACTGGTGAGAAACCTTTTTCTTGTAGTATATGCAGTAAGAGTTTTTCACAAAAAGTTGTTCTAACTTCACACAATCTAGTTCACACTGGTGAGAAACCTTATTCTTGTAGTGTATGTAATGAGAGTTTTTCACGGAAAAGTAATCTGACTGCACACAGTCGTGTCCACACTGGTGAGAAACCTTATTCTTGTAGTGTATGTAATAAGAGTTTTTCCCATAGAAGTAGTCTAACTGAACACAGTCCTGCTCACACTGGTGAGAAACCTTATTCTTGTAGTGTATGTAATAAAAGTTTTGCACGAAGAAGTTATCTGACTACACACAGTCGTGTTCACACTGGTTAGAAACATTTTCCCTGCAGTATATGTAATAAGAATTTTCTACGTAGAATTTGTCTGACTGAGCATTTTGTGTTCATACCAGTATGAAACCTGATTCTTGTTGTTAATTCTTAGAGTTTATCTTCATAAAGAGTTTATATTTTATTTTGAGGGTCTCATTGTTAATTTTTAGGAAAATAAATAAAAATTTAACGTTTTGCTCTCTGATTCTTTTCTTTTTGATGTGTCTGAACTTTGAACCATTAACATGATTTTTCCATTTTAAAACGTTTTTTTTTTTTAAACCAAGGCATAATTTTTAAATCATTATTTTCAAAGTGTGTAAGAAAGTTTTTTTTAAAAAATTAGGAGTAAAGATCCAGATTTTTAATTTTAATAATTAAATTTGTAAACAAATTTAATTATGTGTCAAAATACTTGAATTTAATAAAAAATGAAAATTGGAATATGAATTCACAATTAGGTTTAATTATAAAAACTACCATTTTAAACATAAAAATTATCTAAAAAATTGGGAGCTATGATAAAAAAGTTTACTTGAACTTGATAATCTTGTTGCTTTTTCTCTTGTAACTTCAAATTTTACAATTTAACATAAGAATTGAAATAATTGTGAAGACTTAGATGCAGGTAGAAAATGATTTATTTGATAAAATGCAATCAATGTGATATTTTACTCATTAATCTAATATTTCATCATTTAGAAATGGAACGAATTGAAATAATTGTGAAGACTTAGATGCAGGTAGAAAATGATTTATTTGATAAAATGCAATCAATGTGATATTTTACTCATTAATCTAATATTTCATCATTTAGAAATGGAACGTTATCAAAAATAATTCATTTATTTAAATTATGCATTTTATTTTGAAAGAAGAAACATTACAGAATATACATTCTTTAAAAAAATTTATAAACATGTTTTTGGATGTTTTTCAGAATTTTAAGGGGAAATTTTTTTTGGTTTTATACATAAAAAGAATGCTCTTTAATGTAGCAGTCAACTAGTAATAAGTAAGAAAAAAAAATTTTGTTGCATGTTTTTGAATAAATTTATTTTACTTTTAACTTATTGTGAGTAATAAGTAGTTTTGCACGTGTACAAAATTCAACTTTGTTGACAAACAAAACTTAGGGTGATTCACGATCACTCTGTTTCTGGGGTAAATAATGATCACCTAAGTTTTATTTAAAAAAATTTTTTTTTTTTAAATGGGAGACGTGGACAAGAATGCTTGTACACTTTACTAAAGTGTAACTACATTTACTTAATAATAGTTTTTTGTTTGATCTAGCAAAGTAAGTATATTTTAAACTGCTTTCTGTATTTTCCATTTCAAAGATGGGTTTCAAAATGTGCACATTTCTGCAAAGATATTCCTTCTCTTAATAATAAATATTTTGAGTTACTTTCTTTTTCTTCGATATAAAAATAGTGTAAGCTTTTGTTTAATTGTTTCACATCTACTGTAAACAGTATAATTGATTATGGGAAACTATATCAAATGTTGCCCCCTACAGATGGGGTAATTATTGATCACTGGGGTAATTCCTGATCAGTGTCATTTCTTCTTATAAATAGTATAAAAAATGGCTAATAAATAGCTAATTGTCTTTTCTTAAATAACAGTTCATATTTATTAAGTGGAACAACTATAAAATATATTCTAACTGTAATCACAAGATTTGTTTTTAACTGTATACAATACAAATGTGTTCCGATTTGCACCATTTCTGGTTTGTCTTACCTTGCTTCTATCTTAATTTTATGTGTGTACATTGTTAGAATAGTTTTTAAGTTTATAAATAGCCTAATATAAATATGGTGAGAAATTATAAGCCTAAAAAGGATACTAAGCTACTAGAAAGCAAAAGTAGTGAATTTCCTGTAATCATTGAAAATGAAAATTTCAGTGTGAGAGCTGATGCCAGAGTTGTTGACATACTTTACTTAACTTTACTCTCACATTATGAAGTTAAAAAATCCAGCAAAAGTAACACATGTGGTAACTCTTTCTTATATTCCAGCAGAACATGAGAATGAGTTGGATGCTTGCCTAAAATGTATGGCACGATGCAAAGATTTTTGGAAAATTTAAAGTGTTTATCTTTATTTCTGCTTTTAAATAAATCGTTTTATTAGCTGCTTAAACATATCTTTTTGGTTTATTTGTTTGATCTTGAGATCTTATTTGTTAATTACCATTGTATAGTTATTTTTAAACAGCCCCTTAACTATGAAAACTGCTGATCAGTAATTACCCCAGAAGTGATCAGGAATTACCCCAGAAATGATCAAGAGAAGGGGTAATTCCTGATCGCTAAAAATTTAAAATCTGTTAAATTCTAATTAGATTTTCAAACAAACGAAGGTAGCATAGGACTCATCTCATATAACCTCAAACTTCCAGTAAATATTAAATTCTATCTTGAATAGTTTTTTCACAAAATAGATGTTTGCATTTTTACACAAAATAGATGTTTGCATCAGGAATTACCCCAGGTCACCCTAATTTTTATTGCTCTAATGTCTCTCTAGTGTTTTTAAATAAACTTATTTTACATTGATATAGTACATAAAGTTATTAACCTATGTAAGTAATCTAAGTAGTTTTTCACATTACGTACAAAATTCAACTTAATTGACAAACATAATTTAACTTTTATTGTTCTAAAATCATGTTTTACATTCAAAATTAATTACGTTTCTATTCTCAGTATATCTGTAATAGTTGTGTGGCTATGCAATTAATATTTTTTTTTATCAAAAATATTCTCTAAGTCAAATTACTGTGAAACATTTGATTAACACTAAAAGCAGCATGTGAAAGATTTTTGTGGTCTTTTTTTGCCTTATTCTTAATTGAAATAGAATTCTAAATTTCATTCAGAATAAATAAAAAAGGAAAATAATGATTACCATATCTTTGCTAAAATTGTGATAAATTTATGCTAATAATTTTTTTCGTACATTTTGCAAAAAACTTAATTGTATTCATTGCTCCACAAATTTGCTTATGTCAGAGTTCGGCCTTGATTACAGATAATTACTGCTATATAATCAATGACTTGTAATCACGATTGCAGGTAATTGCAATTACAAATAATCATAATCTTTGGTTACATCAGAGTAGAGAAAAAATGTAATTAATTTCATTTTCCATTTACAGTAATTAATTATTTGTAATCATGATTACAACTGCAATCGTGATCACAGCACTCTATCACAGTAATAAATTACTTGTAATCATAATTTTGATTACAATTGTAATCGTGATTGCATAACCAATTACTGAAATCAATTGATGACAAGTAATCAAACTGATTACAAGTAATCAAAACATATGATTTCATGTAATCATGATTACAACTGTAATCAAACTTTTCAAAAGTTGTAATCACGATTACAGTAATCGACTATTGTAATCACGATTACAAGCGTAATCCAAGTTGTAATCACAGTTACATGCAATTGATTACTGTAATCGATTATGGTAATCACAGTTGTAATCAAAATTATGTTATCTTGTAATCATGATTGCTAGTAATTGATTACTGTAATCAAAAAATGTATTGGAATTATATTTTTGCCATATAGGTGTACTACTTGGGTACATTGGGTCTCTTTGATAAAGGAGGAATACTTACTGAAGGCTTCCATTCGTCTAGATTATAGTCAAAGGAGGATGTAGAATCCCTCCTGTCCAGGGATCCTTTCTTCCTGAGATCTTTCTCGTGTAGAAGGCGGAGGAGGTAAGCAAGAAAAGTGATGATTCGCTCCAGAAAGAGATTGAAGAAGAGGATCGCTCCCGAGCATCCCAGGAATCCGTAGAAGATGACCACCACCCGACCTGCCACCGTCTTGGGCGTTGTCATACCGAAACCTGAAACAATAGGTATTATACATTTGCTTAGATTTTCACAGCACAGTTCCCGTTTGTTGCGGATGGGATTCGTAACCTTCAAGGAACGTCACGCGTGAATCTCGATGCTGATGGGATGCTATTTCATGACCTTTGCTGAAAACGCGATTAAGCAGCCAATTAGGTTCGACTCCCACGTGTGACGTTGCTTGCAGGTACTCAATTAAATCTGATCTGAAAATTGAATTTAGCGTGACAAGAAAAAAAAGCATAGTAACTGCAACGGCAACTTGCCGTCTTGTTTATACACAACAGGTCAATTTCAGTTGCTTTCTCTCGAGTTGAGGGTACGCAATTATTCCTAAATTTTCAAACGGTGCTGCTCCCTAAACACAGGGTGTACCGCATAGGCCGCATATAATACTACAGTATGATTATAATTGAAGTTGCACTTTCAAAAGGCTGCATAAGGAATCGTTTGTCATTATTGGTAAGATTTGTACCTCTCTATCCTGCAAAAGACACCTAAGAATGACATCCCGTCTAAGAAAGTTTTGAAATAATTTAAGAGTTTCGTTGAAGAATACCGAATCGATTCGTATCGATAGAGGTTCCTGTTTCACTTTACGTGAATTTCAGAGGTTTTGCAATGAAAATGGCATCGTGCGAACATTGAATTCTAACATCCCATTCTCAAGAAAATGGAATGGTTAAGAGATAAAACAGAACGTTGTCTACCATTGTCATGTCGATCGAAAAAAAAAAAAATCAAAAGCATTGGGCAGAAGGATTAAGGAAGTAGAAAGAAATTTGCGAAAAAAACTCTTGGAAAANACCAAAATTAAAGCTGTTGAAAAATATAATTAACTTTTATGTTAAAACTTCTTTTTAGTATTAATGGAGAGAAAAAAATCAGTTAACAGAAAATAAAAACTCAACTGATTTTTTTCTAACGAAATACATTTTTTATATGAAATAATAACTTTTCCCTAAATATATAGTTTCAAAAGTGAGGTTTGTACATCTTTCGTTTTATGTTAATAATATTCAATTTAATTTACTTTAAACTAAATCTACGCAATTTTCATTTAAAAAAAATAATTAAAAGTAGGTATATAATTCTTTTGAAATTTAAAGCAGCAAATCAAATTTAACGTAATAAATAATAAATGTTTACGAAAAATATCTTTGAAATGGAAAAATCATAATGAGTGAGCATAATTATAAAGATATGTGATTGTCATCTGTTATGTACTATTAAAGAAAAGACGTTAAAAAAAATCTGGTTATTACTTAGTTATTCTGTACAATAGTTAATAGTTTTTTCTTATCCTAATAAAA